TAAATAAGGAGAAAACTTAACAATTTTAAGAATAATATTTGAAATAATTGATTCTAGTACTTTTTGGGAAAATCTTGCATTAATTGCCGAAATTCTTAATCTTTACAGTAAATTACTTAATATTTTACAATATGATAAGATATGATTATTTTAAGTAGTTCATAGTTTAGGTTATTTAGCTCAATTTTGATTAAACTACTCTAATACTACACTTGTCACAAAGTTAATTACACGACTTGAACAATGTTGAAAGGGTAGAAACAGCCACTTCTTTTATTATCTTATTTATTACATCCAGAATATAGAATAGAATATTTTAATAATTCAATTTCTAATATAAACTATTTAAATTTTGGAAAGTGGCTTATGTATTACTATTATATATGGTTTAAAAAAGAATCAAAATGTATTCTTCAGGAATTTGATGATTTTTGTTTAGTTAAATATCCATTTGATATTAATATATATAATCAATTTAATGGTGATGTTTGACGTTATTAGTGCTATATTAGTATATCTACAAATAAATTAAGATTGATTACCTGTAAAATTTTTAGTATATGTGTAAATGCAATATCTGTTGAAAGACTTTAGAGCTGTATGGAATTTTTACAAACAAATCGGCAAAATCATTTAATAGTATGTTAGTTTATATTTATAAGTTAATTATTTTATTAAATAATATTTTAAATATTTTTTTTATTATATATTCATTTAAAGCTCTTGAAATGAGTAAATTAAGAGCTGATATTACATATTCTAATCATCTTTTTGCATCTGAAATTATATTAGATATTGATAAATCACTTAATAATCAAGTTAGAAATGATAATTTAAATGATTTGATAGAAGAAGATCATGAAGGTTTAATAGAAGATAATGAAACTTTAACAGAAGAATTAGATAATGAAAATGATGAATTAAACCTAAAAAATGAATTTTGTGAATATTTTTAAGGTTGGGCAAATATGTTAGAAGAAGAATATATTATGAATGATGAATTTGACAAAAATAATATAATAGATGATATTGAACATCCTGCTATTAATACTAATGCTAAATGAGAGTTAATAATTTTTTTTTAAAATTGACCTTAAATTACCTTTTTAATAAAATTTGATATTTGATAGTATTAATAAAAAAATTATAAATAATTTGTTTTATAATTAAATAATCACATGATTTATCCCAAATATTCTGGATATAAAAGTATAAAATATAGTCCAAAACTGTTCTGTCTTGGACTGTTCTATGTTCCTGTTCCTGTTTCATGACAACACTAGCTAAAGGTATTTGTGAATATTGCATAAGTAAATATTAATTATATATAGCAATTTAATAAACGAGATAATTCAGATTCCTTTTGACAAAACAGCTTCTTTTTATCAGTAACAATTGACTTCCCAAAGTCAATAAAAATATATTACCTTTTTATTAACTAAGATATTTTTTTTTAAATATTATTATGAAGAACGTTATGACTATGAATTATCTTTAATACCTTAAGAGCTTTATCCTTTTGCCATTCCTCTATTTTATGGAAACTCAAAATAGTACCTATAATTATCATACCCATAACATAGTCGATTTCACCTTCATAATAACTATAACATACCAATTTTGGAATATATATTCCTTAAACTTTAGAAAGAAGATTGTATATTTTGATTTCAATTTATATTTTATAAAAAAATTTCTATTCTTATAAATCTAAAGTCTTCAGAGTTATTGTTTATCCATAGAATTCACATTGGTAAGTCCTTCTGGTTTGCCTATAGCTTAATGAATGCTTAAAATTAAATTCAGAATTATTGAAAATATGTTCTATTAGATCCTGATTTTCTCATGATCCTTAGTAATCAAACGTTTTTGATATACTTCTTGGAATCTGACCACCTCCAGAATTTTGTTGACTTTGCTGTAAAGCTAATTTTAGATTACTACTATTTATTATATTATGATGTGAAGATGTGGAATCTTCCCTTGCTAACTGAGCTAAATATGCATATAATTTAAGTATTGGTAGATTGGTTGAAATACGTTGAAAAGAGTGTGAAATGTAAAGCTCTGTATGATTATGTTTTGGTCGATACAGGAAAAAGTGATAATTATAGCTTGAAAGTATTCTATATTGAAATTGTAATGATGACATATAATTGTAAATTTGCTTAATTATATCATGTGAATGAGAACTAAACATTTGCCTTTCCAGCTTTCATCAGTTAATCCCACCAAATCTCTTAAAAAGATGTTTTTCTTGATTTCTAATGCCAATATTTTCTTCATAAAAGTACCATTAATTTTAAGACAGCAAGTGTAATCAGATACGAAAGGGCTAATATTAGGGTCATTTCTAGAGAAGTTGGAATCTTTCTGCTTTATAAATATATATTTTTCATAACTTCGTTCAATATATTAAATATATTAACTTTCATAGCTGTGTAAACATTTGTTTCAACAACTATTTGTACATTACGAAAAAATTGCGGTCTCTCAAATATCTCCTGTTCAATAAAGTTGTACTGATTTACTTCTGTTAAAAATTCATTCTAACGCGCTATTTTTCTAGGCTAAGCACCATTTACTATTGTTAAACTAATCGAAGTATTGATATCAAGAGGATAATTTGCAGGTGAAAGAATATATGATAAAACTTTATTAAGAGTAAGAAGCTCTTTAAAAATGATAAATAGGTTGAATAAATAAATAATGTATTTTTGAGCAGGTTTGAGAATAGGAAATAGGAAAAAAAAGCATAAGATTAGGTTAGTATTCGATATTATATGATTATATAAAAGAAAGGTGAAACATAAAAAATGAGTAATAAATACCAAAATAACTGCCTTAAAAGATATATAAACTATTTATGAATAAAGCTTACTTTGGTTATTTAACTAAGTGACAAACTCAGTAATAGTTATGGCTAGAATTCTTCTTAAACTAATTTGCAAAACCCTCTTTGGTTACCAAAAGAAACACTTTACTATAGTATCTTTCATTCTCGATTTTATTAATTTCAGAATCATTAAGAAAAAATAAACTTTATTGGATTCTAAAAAATTTTTAACATTCATTATAGTCCAACCATTAACTATTTTAAAAGATGGAGTATTTATAATAGATATGAACATGTTATTTTATTATATTACAGATATACGGTTTAGGATACAATAACTTATCAAATAAGATTTGTTAAACTTAAAAATTTAATAAAATTTTTAAGCTCGTAAAGTTGTTATTTTATTAACATTAAAGTAAATGAAATTTGAAACATATAATTCTGGCTAGTATTATACTGAAATTATATAATATTGGTCAGAATTAAATATAGCTAATCTAACATTAATCTCTTTATTTAGAAAATTTTTTTTTAAAAAAATCCGTTTTTAAAAATATGGAATGATCAAATGACAAACACAACATTGTCAAAATATAGCAAAAAAAAAGAAGTAGTCATGATACTGATATTAATCCCACTAATATTTTAAATTCAGAGATGAAAATAAAGAGGATTAATAGGATTACAATATGTTTTTAGCCTGATCTTATCATATAACGATTGGTTTTACAATATATAACAATTATAAATTCTTTTATAGTGCAGAAAAAAGTAATCAAAATTGTAAAAAAATGCAATAATTCAATAACCTATATTTAAATTATTTCAAATTTTACAATTTTATTATTAAATATATAAGTATTATACTTAAAAAATTTTAGCATTTTATCATTATTTCTTATGCTGCAATTATCTCGTAAAAAAAATAAAATAAATAAAATAAAATAAATAATATTAAACACAATTTTCTCTTTTATTTTGTAGTTTTAATTAAACTCTACAAAATAAAAAAAGTTTATTTAAATTGAATCATTAGATGCTGAAATATATACAAAAACAAAAATATAGAAAAAAAAGTAAATTGATTTATGATATTGATTTACTGTATGATGAAGAAAAAAAGTAATTGGAATAATAAAAAAATGCAATAACTTAACAACTAATGATAAATATATAGAACTTATGAATAAAAAGTTTTAGCACTTTCTTATGCTACAATCATCTTTAAAAAAAAAAAGCAATTTATTAGGCGCAGTAACAAATTTGATCAATCTGTAAAAATGGGGAAAAGTTATTTTTATCCGATTTATAAGCATAGATAACCTTGCCATTTGAATGAATACTATGAACACAAAATAAATAGATTAAAATTCATCTAATATTTGATTCAATAATGAACTTTCAATTTTGTAGGTCATCTGGAATTGTTTTTACTATCGGATCTACTGAAATTCGCAATATAGCAACACGATGACCAACCCTACAATATATACTGATTTATATGATTTATATGCAAGACATTGTGAACTATTAACAATCAATCTCAACATAAATGACACATTAAACTTTTATCCGCTCTTTTGAATCAATTTATTTTCTAGAACAATTGATTCACGTGAATTTTAATTCCTTTAAAAATCGAGTAATGAGGTTTTGAAAAAGGAGCGTGAATTGTATATCTTTTCCGCAATAAATATAAAAACATAAAAAATATTTTTTAAAAAAAACAGCTTGCATTTATACATATCAATAAAGATAAATTAATATTTTTCCAACTATATCATGAAATGACGGTCAAATAAGATGGAAGTTTGATTGATTAATTTTTAATAGGAGTTGCAACTCCCATTATTAATGAAGGTTGTGTGATGACATTTTCAATGAATACGTAAACGCATGTGAATTCTTTTTTCTTTAATTGAAACCTATCCAAATAAGTAAATTGTTGCAGGAGCAAAAATTTAAACATTAATTTTATTATCTATTAAAAAGATTTGTTGTAAAAACAAAAAATCATCGTACATCATTGTGTTGGATTTTCAAGAATAGATCTACAAGGTTCGGAGTGCTAATTGCGATCAGCCACATGCACTCATACACAACAAGTAAAACAAAAAAAAAAAACAATATGAATTATACACTTATTTAGGTTTGAGGGTTATTATACAATTCGTGAATCAGTTCGATTTATGGTATCTTCCTAAAAGATAGGAAGAAATTATTGTGATAATGAGAACGGTGAAGAAAATGTTGTAATGTTTTCTATTTTTGTATATCACAATAAATATTACGCGGTTGTTATGTTTGTTATGCTTGTACTTTATCTAGGGGCTGTATATATTTCTTACTTATAGAATGAGAATCTTCATATGCATTAACATATTTTAAAGTAAGCTTCGTGGTGTAACTTTGATATTTTGGACAAATTAAAATTCGCGCGTTATATGGCGTAATAATGGCAATTTGACAAATTAAAATGCGATCCTGAGCAACTAATTCAGCAAGCATAGGCATGTTTAAGGGAATGCTGTTCAATTTTAATGATTAATGACGGAGTTATGGGAATTTTATTTTTATAAGAATGTCCAGATGCTCTTTTTTATTCAATAATTTGATATTTGGACAAATATAACTAAAGAAAGTTTATTATATTAAAATGTAAAATAAAAAAATAGAGTAAAAATTTATATTAAATAACCTTTTTATTTTGTTACACAAAACGAATGGTCGCGAAATTTTTTTTTTAGAAGAATTAGATTGGGATACATTTATTTATACGATGATGATCAAAAAAATTTTTTTTTTATCTCATTACATTAAAAGTTATACATGCCCAATATAATCAGAAATATTTTTAATTAAAAAAAAAAATCGTAACACAATAAAACCTAAAACTGGTATTTACATTTGATATCTCAATGAATTTGACATAATCATATAAAGCAATAAACTATAAGGGGTACAAACCCTGCGTTGAATATTTTGTTGTAAAATATGCAAGCTCCTATTTTTGGATAATGGGAATATAAAAATGATTGATTGATACATGCCACACTGAATGTTTTTTTCTTTTTCTTTTTTTTTTTTTTTTTTGCTCTTTTTCTTTAATGATAGTTTCAAAATGAAATTAACAAACTTTTTTAATCATTATGCGTTTCTTTTATCAATCATTTTATTTACGATATTGCCCGTAAAATCGCAAATAAATAATGTACTTACATTTAATGAAACTACTAAAGGTGGCAATCTCCCCCGCGTATTTGCGATGGATAAATTTGACGATAACACGATAATTGTTCATACAATTCGTAGAAATTCAATCCCCACTCAAGATAGGATTTGTGTCGATGATTTATTTACATTTCACGCAATTTTTCCTGATGGAAAATCAAAGGCAGTAGTTATTAAATTACCTGTTCAAGCTATTAATTATTGTATCTATGGTGTAAATAAAATCCTTTACAACCCTATTAAAATTTATACCATGAGGACAAATTTTATATTGGTAACTTACACTGAAGCAGAGGACGAAACTAATGTTAATACTTACATGGAATATGCCATTATCATTGATTTAGGTGGAAAGATTCATGGGTTGGTAAAAAAAAAAAAAAAAAGAAATTTAATCTACATCTTTTATTTATTTATTTATTTATTATATAAAATATCATTATCTTGCTTTTTATAGTAAAATATTACTGGGGCCTTCTTTTGTTGATGTCGAAAATAGATGGATACCTAATAAAGCCAAGATTAAGCTAAATGTTAATCGTGAAAAGGGATTCGTTCGTGTCGGTCCTATAACAAACACCACTAATGCCCTCTTACAGCAATTCGTAGTGTAACATATCACACAAATTTAAGCTTCAAATTTAATTATGAAAAGTATTTGAATATGAATTAATATATAACTTTTTTTTTTTTTTTTTATAAATGAAAAGAACTGAGAGCGGGGAAATTCAAAAACTCACGGAAGATGTTGTTATTCTTTCTAATTATTTAGAACTTGTAGTCAAACCCGTTGCAACGATTGATGGAGGATATGCAATCATTTATGCTAATACCACGAAAACTCCCTTAAATGACCCTTTCCTTCCGCAGGGAGGTATCTACGCCATGTTCTTAACATATGGTCAAAGCTATACACGACAACCTGTTGTCATTTATCAAACTCAAATTTCAAACCTGTCATTCACTGGGCTTAATTGCGATATCGCTTACGTAGGATTCGGACAAATTTGTATTTTAACTGGATTTTATATAGACCAACCAGCTCCAAACACATTTTTTATTAGAGTTGATTTCCTTTCATCGGGAACATTATATAACGTTCAATCATTAAATGCGACAGCAGTGGGAGTGACCGAATATAAACTTAGGGCTCTGAGATACGGAGGTTATATATTAATGGGGATAAAGGAACAAACCACAACAAATGATGCCGCCCAACGTTCTATGTATGGTTATATTATTGCTGACAATGGCGTACAATATTCTTGGAACCTTGACAATCCTAGCAAGACAAACTTTAATTTTGTTTATGTAATTTTGTCAAATAATACTTTTGTGCTTACTCAACCGGAGGTTGGACAAAGTTGGTCTTTGATCACGACTGATTTGTATAAATTTGCGAAAGGTAAAGTGACACAAACGCGAAAAACTTTTCATTAGGGTCGTTACACAGGCTTATCAAATTCAAAAAAAAAAAATATTTATTTGTTACGCAAATTTATAACACTTGACCATTTTTAGATCAAGGGTACTCCAATTTCCATGTCGAAACCACGACTCCACCAATTGACGATGAAATTTCACTTGACACAGACTTTATTTCAATTAAATATTATGAACCTGTCGATTTATCAATTGGTAACGTTACAATTTTTCAAAATGATCCCAACCGCGAAATTATGCGTCAAATCACTTCCGGAAACAACGAGGATTTCGTAAATCTTAGCGAAGACGGTACCACAGTTTATGTTAAGATAATTAAGAGCACATTCAATCAGCCTGGTGGAAGTTACTATGTTGCAATTAATAATAACTTTGTAAAGAGTCGAACTTACCAGGAACCTTTCTATGGCATAAAAAAGCACCTTTGGTCTTTTACAACACGTAAGTGATTTTATAAATGGAAAATTTAGAAATCGACCATTGTTAGACAATGTTTACGATTCTTAGTCATTTAAAAATAGTTCCAGAAGAAAGAAAAGAAATGAGCTCAAGTAGTACCACAGGACGCGTTCGATTGACTCCGGAAGGGACTGTTTATTTTGAGAGTCTTGATGACGACGGACGCAAAGATTTTTACGCAAAATTAAGGCAAGAGTTGGCCGATGCGATTCCCATAGATCCAAGACGTCTAACTACCAATGGAAATTTTGAAACTGACACTTCAACGTCTCCAAAACAATTCTTTTTATCTATTAATATTGAACAAGATAAAAATAAACAAAAAATTTCAGTTTCTTCAGCCATTAAAGATTTAGATACTTTGATTAAGAATAAACCATATACTGCTATCTCAAATGGCGAATCTACAAGTTATTTAGATCAAGATTTTGGATACCAACCCTCTAGTAAGGATTGATTCATCATTTAAAGATCGTCAATGAAACGAATGGTTTTTAATTTATACATTTTGAACTTGTAAATTAGCCAAATTTATAAAAGAAAATTATCGTCAGATTCTTGCAGTACTCATTATCATATGCATATTCATCTTGCTTTACTTATGGGCTAAGCAAAGAAATGTTGAGGTGGGCTTTCATGACCAATTTGAAACTACCTAAGGTTATCATAATTCTTATAACATGCATTTATCTTTTGATATAGGCAAAAAATATTGTAATTCTACAATTTGGTCTTATTATTTTTGACTGCGTTATGGATATTCTTTTTGTTGCTATAGAAGCAAAAGCAGTGGATAAATTATTTATTCCAAGGTAACAACTAAATCATTTTATGTATATATATTAAGTTTTAGAAATATTCACGTGTATAATGTTTTGTCCTTCAAGCATCATATCTATAGTAATTCCATTCCTTGTGAACTCAGGATTGGCATTTATAATTATATCAAAAGAAAATCTTAATATGGATTTTTTAGATTGGGTAAAAAACCATACAAAGGTTGCGGCAATATTCACATTATTAGCGGGAGCTGATATCGAAGTTTTAAATGTACTTGATTCAAAGATTGGGGGATATGAATTTTTTAATGCTAAATTTTCTAGATCAGCGTCGAATAAAATCTTTTGGGGAGGTTGCGCCAACATTTTAATTGAAGATCTCCCTCAAATGATTATTCAGGTAACGTAGTAGTTTTTTTTTTTTTTACCTTCTTACTATAATCAAAAAATTTTAATATCTCTCTTTTTTCTTTCTTTTACAAAAAACAAATTATAGATTATTTATTTTAACCAAGTAGTACATTATAATATTATCCCGTTATTAACACTTGTATCATCTTGTTTGAGTTTATTAGTTGATAGTATTGGAAGAATTTATAATGCTAAACACAGGTTTTGCGTTAAGAACTATACAAATGAAACAGTTTCTAACAATTTGCTTAATTCGGATGAAAAACGTGATAAAAGTAATCAAAGTAATGGAATTGATAAAAGTGAAACATCATTATCTGATCATTATCGCAGTAGTGGAAATATTAGAGATGAAACAGATTCTGCTAGAGAAAGTATAATTATTGAAAACAGAGAAAAGAATCCTTTTTATCCATAAAGAACAATTTTAATATATCTTTAAATATCATTTTTTTTTTTATCATTATTTTAAATATCATAAATACTTTCGCTCATCTTTTAGTATAGTAAATTTAATAATTAATTTTTTCCTTCATATGATTTCGGATTTTCAACAACAATTCGCCCGATAATATGACAAGCTTTAGTACTAATTTAAATTTCATAATAACAATTTTAAATCCAAACCTTTCATGGTTGGTTTATGCCCCATTCATAAGTCTAACGTTCTTAAGAGATAATAAATTATTTTACATATAATAATGAGTTAGGGTTACGGGTAGAATTTACGAAATATGGTCATTTCCATCTCACCTGAAAGGAAATAATTTATTATTATTAAATACCAAAAACATTTGAAAAATTGATTCGGAAACTTAATTATTTAATATAACTAATTGAATGGTGTCAATGACGAAAAGATAATATGCAATTATTATTTGAATAAAAAAAAAGTTTGGCTCCCTAATTTATAGTGTACTTTAACTATTCAACGAAACATTTTGTCGTGTCATAAATATTCCTTTGATATGTACAGTGGCTTATATAATTGGTGACCTCCTGTATTTTTTTTTTTTTTAAAAAAAAAAAAGATGGAATTTACTTCTCAAAATTTTCCTTAAATTACTTAGAAAAAAAAAAAGCTTTTTCACATACCAAGTTTGACTCGTATAAATGGCATTACTATGAAAATCCGATTCATCAAACGGACCGATGACGTTATAATTCACATCCCTGAACTCGTCTCCATAGTTAATCCAATTATCAAATTTTTGATATAAAGTATAAGCATTGGGTCTACTTCTAATATCATGACTCCAACAATGATACATTAAAGTTAAAAAACACGTAGGAATTTCATCGTCTAGATAAAGTTTTGGTCTAAGCCCATTAAAAATTTTTCTGGCTAAACGAGCATTATGAGCTTTATCATGAAAAGGAGATCTGTTAGTTGAGACATGATACATAATAATTCCAAAACTATAAATATCGGCTTTTTTGCTATAAGGTGAACCTTTAAAGATTTCTGGTGCGATAAAAGGCATTACGCCGATAACATTTTTAATTTTCCTCGTATTTTCTTCAGGTCTACAAAATCCTAGATCACCAATAAATGCATTATTATCAGCAATCATTACATTTCCACTGTGCAAATCTCCATGAATTAGATCTTGAAGATGTAGTCTATAAAGACCATATGCAATATCTCGAAGGATTTGTAATTTTTTGTACCAATAAATTGTTCTCCACTTAGATGTTAAATAAGTTGACAAAGAAGATTGTGAATAATATTTCATGACAATGCCATATTCACCATAGTTATCATAATATGTAGCACCATAATAACGAACTATATTTGACAATTTATCATCAACAGAGCACCTTTTTATCATCCTGTAAATATTTGCAAACTATATATATAAATATATATAATATTTTTTAAAATTAAGAGAGAAATTATCAATTACAATAATTTAGATCCTTTCTTTAACTAAAATTTTCAAGAGATCGATATAGATGCATAGCTTACTTCTTTTAAAAAAGCTTTATAATCCATAAAAAATTTTACAGCAACATTACACTTACGAGTTCTATTCCAAATTCTACCATCGTCAGTTGCATCCTTGGGCAAGCCATCAAGCCATTTAGCTTTATACACAGTACCAAAAGCACCACTATCAATTTCTTCAAAGTTGATTAATTGAGAGATTTCTATCCATTCAAGAAAATCAGTATCGTTTTCCGCATGGTTTTGCGATGCCTTGATCATTTCGTTTACATTTCCGAAACCACTGTCAAAATTGTTGTGCCGATCGTACAAGCATGACTCACATGTCTTACACTTCATTTATTCGAAAGTTACTACTAATATAAGAAATAATTTTTTTTTTATCCAAAACTTTTTGGTGTGGTTAAAAAAGCAAATTTTGATTTTTTTTATCATTTTTTTTTTCTCTCCGGATGATATAGATCATATGACGGATAAATACCCTGATGAGGAAATTATTTTACCGATAAGGTTATACTCTCTCTTAAAAATGAGTGTTTTTTTTGGTTAAATTATCAACTGACCAATTAAAAAAGAGATTTTTATTTACAATTAGAAATACTGTAATTACCATTCCTTTTTATGACCTTATTATGATCATATCAAAATGATATTTTAGATCTTTAAATGGTTATCTTTTTTACGATGTGTTATTTTAATCCTACCAAATTTATCGCTTTCAATAAAATCATCCTACCCGAATTTAACATTACATAAATAATACTCGATTTTTATTAATTATTTGCACATCCCTATAAGACCATGATTTTGTTTACCATATTTTGCATCAATAGCTTAGCGTATAATATTGATTAGATATTGATTAGTTATCCGCAATATAAATACCCGTTATAAACTTCCAATCTCTATTAATTAACCAAATAATTATTCATAGTCTTTCTAATTTAGCATTGTCGGAATTAAAGCTTTGTAATGGTTTACGTAAATTTGTGGAAAGAAATAATAAATTAAAATTTCTATTGTTTTTGTTATACATTATCAATTAGTATTATTTGATTGAAATGATAAAAAATTACATATATCTCATTTCCTTTTTAATATTAGACTTCCAAGTAATTAATAAGATAATTTAATGAATCCCTTAAGAAACCTAGTTTTTTGAAACTCTTATGTATATGATTTGTGATATTTGATATTTCATTTATAAACCTTTCAATCAATCTTGTTCAATATAAAATACTTATTCAAACTTATAATTTTTATTTATTGATTTATTTAAATTAATATTACTAAATAAAATCTTCTTTTTATGTATATCTAATAATATAAAATTATAAAATCTAATTTTTTATATTAAATTATGGTTTCTTTTATAGAAAACTTAGAATAAGATTAACCTTTTTAATTAGTAATGAAAAAAAGATATTCATTAACATATTTTAGGTATTTAACAATATCTATAACTTATTACTATGTAAAGTAATTCTTATTTAAGCAGTTGCTAAATATAATAAAAGTAAAATTGAAAAATTACTCAACTAAAAAAGCTTAATTGTAACTTGATCAAAATTATTTGTAATATTATCATATTCTCAAATATTTTTAATACATCATTTTTAATACATATTTATTAAAAGAAACTTAAAGAAAATAACTATATTATTTTAAAATAACAGCTTCTTCATTTACTTCATTTTTTTATTATATTTTTTATATTTTTAAAATGATCCATTTATGAAAAAATAAATGAAACTTTATATCCTATATTTCTTAATGTAAAGAATATAATGTAAAGTCAAATTATTTATAGTTAAGCAAGTAAAGAGAAGCATCATTACTACTATTACTATCATTATTATCATTATTAATAGCAGCAGTAGCAATAAAATAAAAAAGAATAAGATTATCACTATCATCACTACTATCAGCAATAGTAGTAATAATAAAATAAAAACAATTAAAATTTCAAATAAAAAAATTCATTATATAAAATGAAAATTATTTAAAAAATATTAAGAATTTAAAAAAAATCCTGATAATAAGAAATTAGATTTAAAGAAATATTTTCAGTTAAAATTAAGATTAGATCAAAAAATAAAGATTTTAAGAGTATAGATTTCTTTTTTTTACATTATAACCAATAATGTTAAGCAAAATTGAAATATTTAATCATTTGACAAACTTGAAATTATTTAATTCTTAATAATTAAAAAGCTAAAATGTTAAAACTTAATTTTCATAGATTTTTCATAAATTTTAACTTACAATTTTTAATAATAATTTATTTTACTATAATTCTAAAAATTTAGAATTTTTGTAAATAAAATACTATTTAATATATTTTATTTACTATATAAATAATTATTATCTATAATGTTAATTAGTAATATTTTTTGATTATATATTTAATTAATAATAAATAATAAAAGATTTAAGTTAAAATTGTAAATATTAAATAATAATATATTCATAAAGATAAATAAATAAAAATTTACATATTTAAAGCAATTTAGATTTAGTCATTTAATCATTTATTAAATGTTTAGTAAAAAGTTTTGATTTTAGTTAAAGGTTTAATCAAACATAAAATTTGATGAAAATTTAATCATGATAAAAATAATTTAAATAGGTATAATTATACTAAAACTCATATTTTATAAATTATTGATATTTTATAAATTTAATAGCTTTAACAGAGTTTGTATTTTTAATACATTTCTGATATTTGTTATTAAAGAATTTATTTTTACAAATTAATTTTTATTTATCTAAGAATTTATATTATTAATTTTATAATTTAATTCTTTTTTCAGTATATTTTTCATATATTTCATTTAAAGTTTATTAATACTTTTTTATATTATATTTCTTTTAATGATAATTTTATTATTAATTTTTTTGAGTTATATTCAATAATATATTAAGTTATTTCTTTTATCATAATTTTTTATAAATTTTTATTCTTTCTTTGAAATAAATGTTATAATGCAAAATTGTTAGTTTCAATAAATATTTATTATAATATATTTTTTTATTTATTATTCAAAATATTTCTTTTAATCATTATAATTTTTAAATTATATTCCTTTTAATATTTCTTATTTATTTAATTCTTTTTCTTTAATTATTTAATATTTTTTCAATAAATTCTTTATTATATTTCCTTTTTTCTCTATTTATTTTTTATTATTTAGTTCTTTTTTCATATTTTTTAATATTCTTTTATTTTATTATTCTTTTTATATTTATATTTTTTTATTATATATTAAGAATATATCTTGCTATCTATCAATCTTAAAAATATAAAATACTACCATTTAATAAGTCTTAATGAGATAAATTCAATAAATTAAATTTTATATTTTTTTAATTATTAAATAATAATTATTTTTAAAAATTAAAATTGTTAAATTAATATACTAGGAAGGGGAAGAGGAGAGGGAGAAAGGGAACAAAAATATTGCATGACTTAAAAACAAAAATTTAAATAAATTTTTTATAAGTTATTAGCCATGTGATTTTTATACTAAATAGGTTAGCAATTGCTTTAAAAGGATATTTGTTTATTGTTTTGATTAAATATGTAGCAATTAATAAATTCACTTTTTAAAAAAACCAAAATTTTCACCTTTGCACATAAATACGTAATGGGCTTCGCTAAAAAATTAACTCTTATGCAAAAGAGAGGCATAATAACAGCCAATAAATTAGGTCACATAAATTCAGAGATTGTAAAAGCTGTAGGATGTTATCGAACAACTGTTTCAAAATATCTTGCAGCTTATAAATCAGGAGAACCTTTCAAAAAATGATCAGGTTGACCATGCTTAATCGATAATCAAGAAAGGCAAAGAATAAAGGCTGAAGTTCTCAAAAATAAAGAATTGAGACGAAAAAATTTAGTAGATATTACTAAAATAATTTCTGCTAAAAACAATAAACTAATCTTCAAAGAACTATTCACTGTACACTTCATGAGAAAAATGTATATTCTTGTATTTCTCAAAAGAAACCTTTAATTTTAATAATTAACAAAATTAAAAGACTTGCATAAGCAAAAGAAAGAAAAGATTAGTCCATTGAAGACTGAAAAAAAATAGTCTAAACAGACAAGTTCACTTTTTCTCAATTTTACAAATCTGGATGAAGACGAGTGTGACAAGAATCAAAAGAGAAATTTCATGAAGATTGTATTATATTAACTGTAAAACATTCTCCTTAAAGAATGTTTTGGGTATGTTTTTCTTTTTTAAAGTTAAGACCCATTATACCACTTAAAGGTTCAGTTACTAGAGAAATTTACAAAGGTATTCTTGCCACTTATGCAGTTTCAACGCTCAAGAAATTTTTCTGAAAAACAAAAAAAAATTTATTTTTCAGGAAGACAATACGCCAGTTCACACTTTAAAAGTTGTATGAGAGTTTTTGCTTTCTCAAAAAGTAGATTTACTTTCATGGCCTACTCAAAGTCCTGATCTTAACCCAATTGAGAAAATATTGTCTATAGTTGAGGTAGAAATTTGAAAATGCAATCCTTAACCTTCAAGCATTCCTAAACTTGAAAAGGCAGTAAAAAAAGCGTAGGATGCAATATCGCAAAAAGAGTACTAAAACTTAGTGCGATCAATGCTAAATAGAATTCAAACTGTGATCAATGCTAATAAAGAATATACTAAATATTAATGTCAGTTTTCAAAAAATAAAAAAAAATAAAATTAATAAGCTTAAAAATAATATGAAATTATTAATAAAATATATTACTTACTTTTTACTATTATAATAAATTAGTCTTTGAAGATGCAAGTGAAGCATTAAGATAATGCCCTATTTTATTAATATTTTTTACACATTATCTTTTATATATTTGATTTAATAAATTATCATCATCTTCAAAACTTTCATTTTGATTTTCTAAATCTATTATCAATAATGCATAATGCATATTGAAATAAGAAGTAAAATTTCATGTGATTCCTCAATAAAATTTACTTTCCAATGATTATTAATATAATATGATAATTTTAACCATAGATTAAGTACTATAAATTAATAATAATAAATTAATAATCTATAAATTAAAATTAATAAATAAAATAAATAAAACTTACTAG